GTATCATTTCACTCAGTCCTCCCATCACTCATTCCTCCTAATCACTCAGTCCTCATAGTCACTCAATCCTCCCAAATCACTAGGCACTCGCGCTCAGTAGGTACCTCCGCTCACTAGGGGTGTGTACAGACTCCGGAGGGGCTCCTTCAGCCCAAGCGCTATAATTTGCACAAACAACTCACGTGCTATAGTATCAATATCTGGATCCGCACTGACAACTCACATGCTATAGTATCAATATCTGGATCCGCACGGACAACTCACGTGCTATAATAAGCCAATATGGCATGCTGCGACGTGCAGCCCGATCCCATAATTATCCTCACAATCAGGCCCTTGACCTCACTTAGTCATCAATGTCATGAAAATAGCCCGAAAATGATGATATGATGTATCAATAAATAACAACAGAGACTGAGATATGATATGTAATGACATGAATATGACTGAGTATGAATTTTCAATTTAGAACAAATAATTCACAGCAATATGACCTTTGTGGGTCCCAATAATACTAGCACATAGCCTCAACATGATTTTTAATATGATTCTCACCTCAATTTCTTTAGCACATAAAACTATATAGAAAATGCCAAGATTATTTGAATACAAAATTCCACGAAAACAACTATATCACAATTTCTATGGTGCACGCCCACACGCCTGTCACCTAGCATGTGCGTCACCTCCCAACAATTCACATAATACATATATTCAGGGTTCATACCCTCAGCTCCAAGATTAGAAGAGTTACTTACCTCAACCCGTGTAATTCTTTATTCCACTATGCCCTTGCCACGAGAATTTGTCTCCGAAAGCCTCGCATCTAGCCACAATTGATTCGATTCAATCAATACCAATTATTGTAATTAATTCCATAAGGAAACACTAATTTTTTCCAATAAAATCCGAAATTAACTCAAAAATTACATGTGGGTCCCACATCTCGGAACTCGACAAAAGTTACAAAATATGAATGCCCATCCAACCACGAGTCCAACCATATAAATTTTACCAAATTCCGACATCAACTCGACCCTCAAATCTTCAATTAAAGTCATTGAAGATTTTTACCATTTTCAACCCAATCTTTATCCATTTGAACACAACAATCTTTCCATAAACCTTATTAATATGTATAAATAATACTATTACACCCAAGAATCATACTCTTAATCACCCATCTTTACCCAAACTCGAAATTGAAGACTAGGGGTTAAAACCTTACCTCTTGGGTGAAGATCTTGTGATATTTCCTTGTTGGATTTCAAAGCTTGAACAAGATCTTGATGAACAAAGCACTTGAGCTTCTTCCTCTCTTAGAACACTCTCACTTCTCTCTAAAAATGTCAGATTTTTGCTCCAAAATGAATCCCAAAGCCTATTTATCAAAATGGGGTCGGGTTATGAAACAAAAAAAATTAACTCTCCGAAAGCAGGTCTGCGGTCGCATAATGGACCGCAGAATAGGTATGCGGGTCGCAAAATGCACCGCAAAATAGATGCTTAGAAATGGGATTCACTGGATAGGTATGCGACCATTTTGCGGTCGCATAACTACTTTTGCGATCGCATAATGGTTCTGCGATCGCAGAATTGGTTGCAGAATCGCATTTTTCCAGCCTTTGGTAATTTGGTCATAACTTCTTGTAGGAATGTCCAAATGATGAACGGTTTAAAGAGTTAGAAACTAGACTCGAAGATCTTTCATTTGATATATTATAAACCATATAACACTTCGTATCCTGAGAGTTATGCTTATTTGAAGTTAGGTCTTGTGCGAACTCACTTGAAACTTTAGTCTATTATGAAATTTCCAACTTCTACATTCGATGCCGAAACCTATAGAATCAAGTACGATTGACTTCAAATTTTTCACACAAGTCATAAATGACATAACTGACCTATACAAATTTTTGAAATCGGATTCCGACCTCGATATCAAAAAGTCAACCCTTCGGTCAAACTTTCCAAAAATTCAATTTTTGCCATTTCAAACCTAATTCTATTATGGACCTCCAAATAATTTTTCGGACACGCTCCTAAGTCCAAAATAGCCATACATAGCTATTGGAATCGTCAGAATTCAATTCCGAGGTCGTTTACATATAAGTGAATATCCTATCAACTTTTTCAACTTAAGTTTTCAATTATGAGACTAAGTGTCTCATTTCACTCTGAAATCCTTCCGAACCCAAACCAATTAACCCGATAGGTTATAAATCAATTGTAAGGCATTAATTGATCAGTAAATGGGGGAACGGGGTTGTGATACTCAAAACGACTGGTCGGGTCGTTACAAAAGCTAAATGTCATATTCAGCTGCTAATGCTCCAAATAAAATAAAGTTCATAATGAGTAGAGTCTATGGCATGCATGAAGCATAATAGACTAATAGGTTCCAAAAATAAAACTCCTTGAATAAGGATAGGACTAAATGTTCAAGATAGTCATAATAAAAAGGCAAATGCTCTAGAAGAGCACCACGACATAACACTTCATAAGACCTCATGGGAGAGGCTCAGGTACCTGAAAATAATAAGATAAAGAGATCTCAATAAGTTATGTCTTTATTGGGTAATATTACAACTGATATAAAATGATCGTCAACGATATTGTTAATATAATGTAGCGCTCAATGTTATTAATATTGACGAGGATCTTGAGCTCAAATCTGTCATGAAATTTGGACAGATAAATGATTGGCCAAATAAAAAATACGCAATGAAAATTGATTTTACCTGAAAAATATGAAGTTGGACGGATAGTCCCAACACCTGAAAGTATAAAGTCAGTGGAGGTATAAATGTGTTCTTGTGCGGAAAAAAAGGTCAAGTCGATAGACATAAAGACGACTTGTGTCACAAAAAAATTTGTATATATCACGACATTGATTATATAGAGACATATTCTCCTGTGGTCGATGTCGTCATTTCAGGTTTTAATCTGGCAATATAAGAAAAACGTGATATACGTATAATGGAAATCATTGAAGGATTTAAATTGTTCTGAAGCATATTAAGGTTTCCGAGAAATTTATTAAATAAAGTTTCAAAAATCCTTATACAGGTTGAAACAATCAGGGCGCATGTGGTATAATCGCCTGAGTGAGTACCTGTTGAAAAAAGTGTACAAGAATGATTCAATTTGTCCTTGTGTCTTTATAAAAAGATCTGTATCTAAATTTGTTATAATCGACATGTATGTTGATGATTTAAATATCATTGGAAATTCTATGGAGCTTCCTAAAGCAGTGGACCATTTAAAGAAAGAATTTGAAATGAAAGATCTTGGAAAGACAAAATTTTATCTTGGTCTACAAAATGAGTATATGAAAGATGGAATTTTTGTCCATCAATCAGCATACACTAAAAAGATTTTAAAGCGATTCTATATGGATAAAGCACATCTATTGAGTACCCCGATGGTTGTGAGATCACTCGATATAAATAAATATCTATTCCGATCTCATGAAAATAATGAAGAGCTTCTTGGTCCCGAAGTACCATATCTTAGTTCAATTAGTGCGCTAATGTATCTTTCTAACATTACAAGGTCTGATATAACTTTTTCAGTTAATGTCTTAACAAGATATAACTCTACTCATACAGGGAGACATTGGAATGGAATCAAATACATATTGTTGTATCTAAAAGGGACTACCGATATGGGATTATTTTATGGCAATGATTGCAGTCCCGATCTTGTTGGTTATGCCGATGCTGGGTATTTATCTGACCCACACAAGACTCGATCTCAAACACGCTATGTGTTTACATATGGAGGCACTGTCATATCTTGGCGATCGACTAAGCAATCAATCGTGGCTACTTCATCTAATCATGCTGAGATAATTGCTATTCATGAAGCAAGTCGAGAATGTGTATGGTTGAGGTTTATAATACACCTTATTCGAGACAAATGTGGTTGAAATGTGACAAACTACCCACAATTTTGTATGAAGACAATGTAGCATGCATAGCCAATTGAAGGGAGGATTCATAAAAGGGGTAGGACAAAACACATTTCACCAAAGTTATTTTTCACACATGATCTTCAAAAGAATGGTGATATCGATGTGCAACAGATTCGTTCAAGTGATAATATGGCTGATTTGTTCACCAAATCTCTACCGACATCAACCTTCAAGAAACTAGTGTACAAGATTGGGATGTGAAGGCTCAAGGATGTGAATTGATGCTCTCATTAGGGGGAGTTAATACGCGTTGTACTCTTTTTCCCTTACAAGACTTTGTCCCACTAAGTTTTTCTTGTAAGGTTTTTAACGAGGCAACCAAAAGGCGTGTTTCTAAACATGTGTACTCTTTTTCCTTCACTAAGATTTTTTTCAATTGGGTTTTTTCCTAATAAGGTTTTAACGAGGCATATTATCTATGGATATCCAAGGGGGAGTATTATAAGAAAAATCAAATTATGGTGGATGTCTACTTTTCCTCCATGATCTTCTCAAATACTTAATGACATATTTAATAATATATTTTTCTTCACTTTTTATGCCTATATAAATGTCGTTTAATAGATAGGAGAATACACACAATTGAAGAAGAAATAAGAATCTTTCATCTCTTTTTCTCTATATCCCTTAGCTTGTTTTTTCTTGTTTTATATCGTTACTTTCTCTATATCTTTTAGCTTGTTTTTTCTTATTTTATATCGTTACTTTGAGTTATATTTCATAACATATACTCTCTCCGTTTCAATTTATGTGAACTTATTTCCTTTTTAGTCCGTGCAAAAAAGAATAACCTCTTTCCTTATTTGAAAACAATTTACTTTTATGCAATGATTTATAGCTACACAAAATATATGTGCCTCATTTTACACCAGAAGGTCAAAAGTTTTCTCTCTTTTCTTAAACTCTTTGCCCGTCAAATGAGTTCACGGAGTGAGTATGAAGTTTTACAATAAATCCCAATAGTTAAACCAAAAGAAACAGAAAAAAGTTTTAGGTGACAAAGTTTCACGTGACATTATTTGGTCAACTTTCAGTCCTCACCATTCTTAACAATGTACGAGAAACACAGCCGATCAAAACAAGAACCAAAAACAGAAACAAAAATCTGAGATCTAGTCATTAACACAGTTACACAGTTTAGTCCCTAAATCACTATCTAATTCCATGGTCAGTTGTTCAAACTCTGTAGAAAACATGCCCATGGTTCCAAGATTTCTCCATAGCCAAAACCGCCTCAAAGATCTTCTCTTACTCTTCTCCACACTCATCATTTTCTACTTAATCTTCCTTCTTCACCATCTCCACACCCCTAAAACCACCTTCATCCCTAACCCCGACTATACCCCCACCACCCCACCACCCTCCACTAATCTCTCTCTTTCACATCTCTTTTTCTCTATAGCCGCTGCTTCTTCTTCTTTCTCTCTCCGTCTTCCTTATATTAACCTTTGGTACAAACCCAATTCAACAAACGCTGTAATTTTCCTTGACACCCCAATTTCCAGTACTCCTTCTGTTTCTTCACCTCCAATTCTTGTTTCCTCTGATACTTCGAATTTTCCTTATTCTTTCCCTTCTGGTCGCCGTTCAGCAATTCGGATTGCTCGTATTGTTAAAGATACTTTTGACTTAGCTAAAAATGTAAACTTTTCGAACACCCGTTGGTTTATTTTTGGTGATGATGATACTGTTTTCTTCACGGAGAATTTGGTTAGTGTTTTGTCTAAGTATGATTATGAGAAGTGGTATTATGTTGGGTATAATTCGGAAAGCTATGAGCAGAATGAGAAGTATTCTTTTGATATGGCATTTGGGGGTGGTGGGTTTGCTCTTAGTGCTCCATTGGCTAAGGTTTTAGCTGGAGTTTTAGATTCTTGTTTGATGAGGTATCCTCATTTGTATGGAAGTGATTCTAGGGTTTTTTCTTGCTTAGCTGAGCTTGGAGTACATTTGACCCATGAACCTGGATTCCATCAGGTTAATTCTTTATAACTTTTATTACTCAATTTTGTTTCTGGGGTTTATTTTTCATTAGCTACTGCTTCGTTTCATTTGTCCTTGAGCCCATGGGTCTTCAGAAACAATCGCTCTACCTTCACAGGATAGGGTTTAAGGTGTGCATACACACTACCCTCCCCAGACCCCACTTGTGTAATTATACTGGGTATGTTGTTGGTGGTGGTGGTGGTTTATATTTCATTAATAAAACTTGAGGTACAAAGTTTAAAATAGACCAAGATGGAATTTTGGAGCTGGCTTTAATGAGATGGACTTATGGGATGATCTTAAGATTCATTTATTAGATGTATGTATTCCTAATTTGGTAAAAGCATGAGGGAATTTATAAAGCGTGTTAGTGCGATGTTAAATAGTTAAATGATTTGTGAATAAATCCTTTTTGTCAAGTTGATGTATGTGTTATCATAGTATCACAAGGAAATATTTGATATTTTGATATCTTTTGGTTGATTTGATTGGCAGCCCATTGAAATTATGTACACTCAGTTTAGCATGTTTTCAAATAAATTTTTTCTCTTATTTTCCTTCAATAAAGTTGTACTTCTGCATTTGCAATGATAGTTGAAGTAAGGCTTGCTCCCATAGAAATAGCGTTTTAGGTTCTCTGTTATATGTATATGTTTTTCGTGTGCAGCCATTTTGCAAGCTTATGAGTCTAGCCTTGTGCAGCCTCAAAGTTTGTTTCTTGGCTTATGGAAGTTAAGCAGATGGCCTTTTGATGGTGCACATCAAACTATGGACACTCTGTTTAGCATGTTTTTCAAAGTGTTAAATTTGTTCTCTTTTCTTTTTCTTCAATTAAATTTGAATTCAAACTTTAGGGCTTAACAACCCCTTTAGCAAAGAAATTGTGCACCGCCCTGACCAAGTTGGCAAATTTAATAGCAATGGCAGTTCAAGTGAGGCTTGATTTGATACAAATACGGAATTTATGTTGTTTAAATTTTTGTGTTTTTGGTATGCTCCCTTTTTGTGAGCTTATGACTAAACCTAACCGCAAAATATGTTTCTTTCCTTATGGAAGTTATATGGACCAGCCTTTTTGAGGGTGCACATGAGAGTATATAAGCCACCTACAATGTTCCTGATTTTAGTTTTTGTATTTTAAGTTGAAGTTGCTTTCATTAATAGGTTGATGTTCGAGGAGATTTATTTGGTATCCTTTCTGCACATCCATTATCACCTCTGTTATCACTTCATCACTTGGACGCTGTGGAGCCACTTTTCCCTGGCATGACCAGGATTGCAGCCACGGAGCATCTTTTCCAAGCTGTCCATGCTGATCCTGCTAGGATTTTGCAACAAACAGTGTGCTACGACAAGTCCAACTTACTGACAGTTTCAGTTGCATGGGGTTACGCAGTTCAGGTGTTTGAAGGGAATGAACTTCTTCCAGATCTCCTCTCACGACAGCCAACATTTAGACCATGGAAAAGGGGTAAAAATGTTGCTGCAAAATATATGTTTAACACTAGAGTCTTCCCCAGTGATCCATGCAAAAGACCTGCGGTCTTCTTCTTGCAAAATGTTCTTTCTAGTAGAGATGGCATATGGACTGAATATATAAGACATGATCTTGGGAACTGCGTAAGAAGTAATCTGTCAAAAAAATTGGTAAAGATAAGAGTCTTCTCGCAGAAGCTAGCTTTTGATGCTGAACAGGTTCTCTGCTTGCATGTAGACCCTGAAATTTGTTTCTATTGTTTTGTTGTTGTTGCTGTTCCTTCCTTTGTGGTGTATAATTACTTTGCGCTTCCTCTGCTGAACTTGTAAGTTTCCTGAATCAGTTGAAGCCACTTCGTCGACCATGCTGTGACATTTCATCACCTATCAATGAGACGATGATAATTGGTATTAGACAATGTGGGCATGGCGAGTTGATCTCAATGCAGACTTAGAAAGATCCTCGAAATTGCTCTAGACGAATGACCTGTCAATCCATGGCTGGACGGACGAGCAGGGATCATGCAGTCTCTTGACAGGAACTCTCTCGTCCGATTTCTCATTTTATAAGGTACAATTTCTTTTTACAAAGACATCATCTGCCTTGTCTTTTCCACCCATTATTGCGTTCATTTGATTAACTGAAGACTATTTCTCCCAATGTTATTCTGATTTCTGATCTCTAATTTCTGAATCATATAAGGTCCTATGTCTCTAGTTATGACAATATTTTTGCCTTTTCTGATGACTTGTTAGTTGTTGTTGTGTCTATTTCTGTCATTTGTTTATGACTGAATCATTTCCTTTCTTTCAATTTAAGGTGTAACAGCTTGGTGAATCTGTTTATAAACCAAAATGGCTTTGCCTATCACTGTGATGTTTGGTCCTAGAATGTTCTGCTTCTTGCCTTAACAATCTTCATGATGTCAGCATCATCATTTTGTGCAACAATTTGAGATTATAGCTTTATGGAACCTTTGAACTAACTGTACCTCCCCTATCCCTGCACGTGTCCTAAGTGAGATCAGTTGTGTTCGCGAGTAGTTCAAATATTATTCCAACCCCTACAAATAAATTTGGTAGAAGGAAATATGAGGAAGGAAAAATATTGTAATACCTATATAAGTAAAATGGTCACGGCATACTTAATGGTGAAACATACTGTCATAACTGCATGTGACTTTTAAATCCATACCGCATTAACATGTATATAACATAAGGTAATTATGCAAAATAATAATAAGTAATTAATTAATTTGCTGATATTCAAAGATGATCATTCCCCTTGGACTAAGAAACTCAAGGCAGTTTCTCGACCTTTTACTTATGAAGTACAACGACAACTATTCCTTAATTTCAAAACCTGTTGTGATCGGCTATTTTGGCTATGTGAATCTTCTACATCCATTACGCTCCATTTGGACATATTTCACTAAATACTACTTCTTAGCCATGTCCACTTACCCCGAGAAACACTAATTTTTTGAGTGTATGCCAATCTCACACTTACTCCTGAATAACCTATAGCTGACACATCCCTAGTCAGTGTAACATGGATGAAGAATAGTGGGAACTGGTGTGTAAATGATTTTGTTGGCATTCTGTTTGTGAAATCAGAATCATATTGTTGTAATGTCACTGATAAAAATAAAAAAAATCTCTGGGTAAGCTGTAATGTCAGAAAACATATATGCGCACTAAAAAAAGGGAGATTTGAAATTAAAATGCGTAGAACAACTGATTTAATTTTCAATTATTCATGTATTTTGCTGGCTAGCAGTGTTTTGTCGGCACTTCGCTGTCTTATCTGTTAAAGCTCATCTTTTTTTAATTAGTATTTTGCTAATTGAATGCTTTATAACTTTTTTCATATGGTTTGAAATTCTGTTAATTAAATAGTTGGTAGAGAGTGTCACTAAAATGTCAATAGAGATTTTGTAGTTTGCATTGAAATGTAAAGTAAAGGGTCCTTACTAGTGATATTTACAATTGTTTGAGTCAGATTGCTAAATTGATACGCTGGAAATTAGCTGGGGGGCATATCAGAGAAGTCCTGAATGGTGTATGCATTGTTAAAGGAAAACTGCAGAACTACGCGTTCCTAAATTTCTTGTCCTTCTGGCTCTTCCTTTTCGGCATTTGTCCAAGTATTGAATGGATTAATTTGCAGCAGTTTGATCTTATCACAGCCAAGATTTTAAGTTTCTTGCAACAAGTTTTTCATTTCCTTTGAGACTGAAAGGATTGTAGAGTTAAGCTTGTTCTCTTACTCATGGTTTGGAATAGTGAACATCATTTCCTTCTCCTTGTCATTGCAGATTTTTGCGATTGTTACTCTACCTCTTCTAATATCAAGGCACCCTAGTATGAGGGGGTAATGTGTCTTGCATCTCTTCTGGAATGAGTACTAATCACTCCTCAGACACCTTGGTCGCCTGTCAATTCCAGCAGATTGAAGTTGTTCTATTCTTATAGGAACTATGATTTGATTTTAGGCATTTGTAACTGGGGAAAGATGAGTTGTATAAATAATAACTTCAGCTGGAGCTTGTATCATGTATCATTTAATGTTCAATAAGAAATTACTGTGGATATCAAGTTTTATTGAATCCTTAACTGTAGGTCTAATTCTTACAATCAGTAAATGTGATATCTAAAAGAAGCAGACTTAATTGTGAATCACACGTTGAATAAGCTGATCAAGCTGATTGTCTTTCACTTTACTTGGTCCGAAAATTGAGGCAAATTTGTTTTTAAATGTTATTATTAGTAATACTATGTGGGGTTGGTAAACTTCTGCTTCCAAAGAGAGAAGGTCTCCAAATTCGGCAACCGAACCCTTAATATCACAATCCTTAAGTAACACACGTCACATATTCATTTCATACATTGACTTTTATTAATTGCTTTTCTCTTTAATGTGCAAAAACGCCTTCTTTTTTCTTCATTTTCAGTCAATTTTCACATCACATTGTTGACTCAGTTCCACCAAATGGACACCTCTGATTGGAGTTCCTCAAAAGATAGATAAAGAAATATGGCGTTACATATTCAAAGTAACCTAACTTTCCCAAAAGTAACCTAATATATTCATCAGTGTCTTAATTCCAAGTACTCTTTTGTTGTAATTAATAAACACATGTGAAGATGTAACCGATTTTCCAGGGCAATAAGATTGTCAAATTTCTCCTGCTTTTCTTGGGCTAAGGACTCCGGGTCTAAAGGGGTGATAGCTTCTATCAATTACAGTAAATTCCTTTAAACCCCTTGTTCCATTGTCTTTCATTCCATCCTCAGAAATGCAGTTTTTTCAGGTTCCCAACAAGACACAACATTCCACCAACCCTTTCAAAAATCTCATAATAATATCCTGTTTTGGTTGCATGATTTATCTTGTTTGTACCATCTTTCTTGCTCCTAACAACAACAAGCATTTCCATACCTCAGTTTCATTACAGGATGATGAATTATCATCTCAAACTAATCTTGATCATATTGTTTTTGGAATTGCATCCAATGAGCAATCTTGGTCCAAAAGAAAGGAATATGTTAAGCTCTGGTGGGAACCCCATATAATGAGGGGATGTGTGTTTCTTGAAAAGATGCCACCTTTTTCATCAAATCGAACATATAATGAGTCTCTGCCTCCCATTTGCATTTCTGAGGATACTTCTCGGTTTAGATATACGCATAGAGGTGGGACACCTTCAGCAATTCGCGTGGCACGTGTGGTCTCAGAGACGGTGGCACTTAATCATTCTAATGTAAGATGGTTTGTGTTTGGAGATGATGACACTATTTTCTTCCCTGAAAATTTGGTGAAGACACTTTCTAAATATGATCATGGACTTTGGTACTATATTGGAACAAATTCAGAAAGCTTTATGCAGAACAAGTTTTTCTCTTATGTTATGGCTTTTGGTGGAGCTGGTTTTGCTATAAGTTATCCTTTGGCAAAAGCTTTAGCCAAAGTCTTTGATTCATGCATTGCAAGATATCCCCACTTATATGGAAGTGATGGTAGAGTTCATGCCTGTTTAGCAGAGCTTGGTGTTAGCTTAACACGTGAGCCCGGTTTTCATCAGGTGCCATTTTCACTTACCTCTGAATTTCTTATAAACTACTTTTAGGCTATTGAGAATTTTGCATTTCTGACTTTTTTGTTCTGTTTGTGTGAAATTGAAATGCTAGATGGATTTTCATGGAAATGTGTTTGGAATGTTGGCTGCACATCCCATTAGGCCATTGGTATCTATGCATCATATGGAGGCAATTGATCCTATATTTCCGAATATGACAACAGTAAAGGCTGTGGAGCATTTGTACAAGGCAGCAAGCTTCGATCCACATCGGATTTTACAGCAAACAGTATGCTATGATCATTGGTTTTCTTGGACAGTTTCAGTGTCTTGGGGATATGCTGTTCAAGTGTTTGATAGGAATGTGCTTTTGTCAGATGTTCAGTGCGTGCAAGAGAGCTATGCTCCCTGGAAAAGGAGTCATTTAGGTGGATTATATGACTTCGATACGAGGAAATATGAATTTGATCTGTGCAGAAGGCAGCTTGTTTATTTCTTGGACAAAGTGTCTTCTGGAAGCAATGGAACTGAGACTACTTACAAAAAGAAGACATCTGAGGAATGCAAATTTGACATGACTTCGCCTAGAAGACTAGAAGAAATCAGAGTGTTATCGAGCAAGTTAGTCCTCGACAAACAACAGGTGCCTTTCTTGAGCTTATTAGTACTGTTCTTTCTGTAAATTCTGTGCATTCTAAAATTTCCTTATTGTCTAATTTTTGAAACTTTTGGTCTAATGTCATATGCAGTTGCTAGCTCCAAGAAGGCATTGCTGTGATGTATTACATTCTACATCGGGTAACGTCATGGAAATAGGGATAAGAGAATGCAAGGAAGATGAACTAATTTACATGCACCATTAGTTGCAATACATTATCGAGACAAATCAGCATTACTACCACCATTTGATGGTTCTCCCAATTGCCTGTCCAATCGCGCAATCACGAAATTTTGAATTTTAAGAAGCCAATCCTGTTGTCTTTTTTGGTGACTCATTGCTCCTGAGAAGAAAGATCTTGAGCATAAGGAAGTCTAATACGAAGCCTAACAAGATGCTAGCAGTTTTTGAGTTTTTTCAAGGCAGACTCGTTTGCTTTCTGAGCATTGGAGTTCAATAATCGAAGAGAATTTTGAGCCAGACATAATTTGGGGGAAGCTTTTTTTCTTTCGGAATTCGGAAATCAGTTTTGTACGTGTTTACTTGGATTAGATGTATACGTCAGGAAATTAGGCACATAAACAAATTAGCAACATACATAGAATCTTTGTGACTTGCGAGTTGACCAGAAAAATAGAAAGTCTCAATTTTGACTGAAACTAGTTCAAGATTTCTTGATGTATTATATGATTTCTTGACCTTTTCTCATGCATACCATACGCCTATTTAGCCGTAAATGAAGCAACAAGCTGAGACTTATTTTGTACTTGTTTCAACTATGACCCTTGTCCCTTTGCTAGCTTTCTGCAGTTTTGCACGTATAGATTTCTGCATTAATTAAACGCTTATAATCATTCATAATTTTTATGCACTGACATTGCATGTGTTTCTTTTACATCATGGGGTGAAATCAACCTATACAACAATATGTAATTCTGATATGCAAAATAGCCTAATTGAAACTCGTAGTTGAACCTTTTGATGATATCCCGGTCCTCCTACTTGATCAAAACAAATTCTTTAACGCGTTAGACCGAGCTTGTGTGTCGTTGATACGATTGAGGTGAAAAAAATGTGTGTATTTCACGTGTATAACGTGATTCAAACAAAAAAAAAAAACAGGATGAGTTTCTTGCTTAAGTAGTAAAATGCTGATCAAGGTTTGGTGGAGGTCATAATACCCTTTCTATCTGTTTGTGGGGAAGAACGATATGCTATTGAGGATGTCTTAGAGTTGATAGGGGGATTAAAAATACTTTGAACTTTATTTAGACCTTTCTATTTACACAAAATAGATGAACCTCTGCTCTATTATGAAATATCTAAAATAGTAAATTCCACTTAATCCATACACACGTTTTAGGTCTAAAAACAAGCAGGTACCCTCTTCACTTTTTTAATGAATAAGATTTTCCCGTTACTCCAAAATGAATTACTCCTCTATTTATCGCTCGAATTTTCAAAATATAAAATTTACTTTTAATTAGTATGGCTTATAATAAATAACTCCATTATTTATTTATAACAGGCGAAATTATTTCTCCCTTCAACCTTAATTAGGCGAAAATTACTTCCACCCTTTAATCCTTTATTAATCCAATCGTTAACAAAAATGGAATCACTTTGACAGAGCAGTATGGGTCGGCGGTCGGCAGGGAACAAAAGGCGAAGATTTGGCGGCGGCGGCGAAAAGCCTGTTCTCCAACTCCAAAACCCTAATCCCAATCCCAAACCCACTGAAGAAGAAGTAACTCCTCCGAGTAAAAAGCCGAAGATAATCGACAGCAGTGAGCAACAATTGCCACTCCTTGAATCGGAGCCTTCGTCATTAACTGATGCAATTAGTGATAATGATGTGAATAATGGGCCGAGGTTTAAGGATTTAGGAGGAATGGATGCTGTATTAGAGGAATTAAAAATGGAGGTAATTGTTCCATTGTACCATCCACAATTAACTAAGCATCTAGGAGTTAAACCAATGTCAGGAATACTCTTTCATGGCCCACCTGGTTGTGGAAAAACAAAGCTGGCCCATGCAATTGCAAACGAGACTGGTGTTCCATTTTACAAAATTTCTGCTACTGAATTGGTCTCTGGAATTTCAGGTGCATCAGAAGAAAACATAAGGGAAATGTTCTCGAAAGCATACAGGACAGCACCTTCTATTGTGTTTATTGATGAAATTGATTCAATTGCTTCTAAACGAGAGAATTTACAGAGAGAAATGGAACGGCGCATTGTAACGCAGCTGATGACATGCATGGATGAATCGCATAGGCTTGTAAAACCTGATGATGAAAAAGATGGTGATGGATTTAATGGCGGTAATGCTGGTTATGTGCTGGTAATTGGAGCCACGAATAGACCTGATGCTATTGACCCGGCACTAAGGAGGCCTGGACGATTTGACCGTGAAATCGCATTAGGTATGCCAGATGAAAATGGGAGGGCACAGATTCTGTCTGTGGAGGGCGCGTTTGATCTAATGAAGATAGCTAGGTCGACCCCAGGATTTGTTGGAGCAGACTTGGCTGCTCTAACTAACAAGGCGGGTAATTTGGCGATGAGGAGGATAATAGACTTGAGGAAGGTTGAGCTAACAAGTGAAGTGTTGGTAGATGGGAAAGAGGCTGAAGAATGGTGGAAAAAGCCGTGGTCACCTGAAGAGATGGCAAAACTCAGCATTACTATGGCTGATTTTGAGGAAGCAGTTAAATTGGTTCAACCCTCTTCTAGAAGAGAAGGTTTTTCCGCCATACCAAATGTTAAGTGGGAAGATGTTGGAGGACTTGATTTGTTGAGGCATGAATTTGTTCGTTCCGTTGTTAATCCTATAAAGCGTCCTGAAGATTATACGGGTTATGGAGTGCATTACGACACAGGATTTTTGCTTTATGGTCCACCAGGATGTGGTAAAACGTTAATCGCCAAGGCTGTTGCTAATGAAGCTGGAGCAAATTTTATACACATTAAGGGTCCTGAAATTCTGAACAAGTATGTTGGTGAAAGTGAGTTAGCTATTCGGACATTGTTTACTCGTGCAAGAACGTGCGCCCCCTGTATACTGTTCTTCGATGAAGTGGATGCATTGACAACTAAGTGTGGTAAAGAAGGAGGTTGGGTTGTCGAAAGGCTTTTGAATCAGCTACTAATAGAACTAGATGGTGCAGATGAGAGAAAGGGTGTTTCTGTTATTGGTGCTACAAATAGGCCTGAAGTTATGGACCCTGCTATTCATCGACCTGGAAGATTAGGGAAAAAACTATATGTCCCTCTACCTAGTCCAGAGGAGCGTGGACTAATTTTAAAAGCGCTTTCCAAGAGAAAACCTATAGATGCTAGTGTCGATTTGATGAAAATTGGAAGAGATGATGGTTGTAATAATTTAAGTGGAGCTGATCTATCAGCTTTGATGAATGAAGCTGCAATGCTTGCACTTGAAGATAAACTGAAAGCATCAGATACAAGTGATGAAAAGTTGTGGACTATCAAAGAGTCACATTTCAATCGGGCTATGGAGAAAATTTCAGTCACATTTCAATCGGGCTATGGAGAAAATTTCTCCATCTGTCTCCGATAAGCAAATAGAATATTACCAGCTTTTATCAGAAACCTTATGAGTGGCATGAAGCTAAAGCACAAAACTAAGGGTGTTTATTTATATCTCCAGCTCCAATATGTATTCTTGTTGGAGTTATAACACTTTTCTCGATCTTGTATCATAAGTAGGTTTTGATTTGGTAGTAAATGTTGCAAAGTATTTTGTGAGAAATAAGTTATACTAGTAGCACTGACAATATATATGTGAATCAGGGCAATGCCAAAGATTCATGTTCAGCTCTTTTTCTTTTCTTCTTTTTTAAAATTACTTTTTTTTCTTGGGAAAGTGAACGGCTAGGTTGGAAGAAATAATATACTGTAAATGTTTAACAGATAGGGTCAAGCATCCAAATACAGAAACTCAAGAATGCAGCATACTTGTGTGTGAAACTAACATTTTTGTTGTCTTTAACTAAGAGTGGATAATAAATAAAGAATAGTGGAAAGAATTAGACATTCCATGTGGAGACGTTTTTAATCTTTGTCAAGTTGTTAAAAGGGTTGCAAAGGGGAAAAGTGGCCTGTAATTATTTTCGTACATGTATTTGAACAAATGAGACAATGTATTGGAAGTTTTACTCATGTAATAATTTTTAATCCTTGGAATAGTTCTGTCTACAAAAAGTACAATCAAACTATATTTCATATTTTAGTAAAAGACATATCTGATTTGGTCTTCGACAAGTTGCAGCTGCAAATTTATACAGTAAGTTGCACTATGCAAATAATGCAACCATTTGAACATGTAAAGTAGTTCCAAATTTATATTACCCACTAATATTATTTGTTAGCATCATTTGTAACTTGTAACCATAGATTTTGATCGTGATTCTTAATCAAGAAAAGTAATACACTGGCGGATTCAGAATTTAGACATCGTGGTCTTGAGTAGAGTAAGTAAATTTTGAAATAATGTATATCTAAATCTATCTGAGAATTCAACCCTGAAATATTGGTTCTGTCAAATTAGTGAACGTATGGTTGGCATTGCGAATTGGTACGACCAAATTTATTTGGAAAAAGTTGGCAAGTAAAAGTAAGAAAATATTCATTCAAATGGGAGAGACCAAAGTTATGTGCTCTCTAATTGTTCTCCTCATGAAATGAATTAGAATTTGCTCTGTCCAATTATAATTATCTTAAGAATTGATTAGCTAGGTAACCATTGTGATTTGACTTGTATGTTCAACATCAAGCTATCTCTCACGTTTTAGAGAGAGAGAGAGATAGAGAGAGATTCTATATGAAATTAAGACTTTGAGCATCTCCATTATCTAGTGGCAATTATAAATAGCAAGAAACTAGTAAGAAGGTGCATACAGTTACATGACAGGCTCCAAAATTATTCTCTTTTTAATTTTTTAATCATTCATTTCGAAATAAGATTGTGATAGTGGGGGCTTGTAAGTAGTAATGATTAGATAATCTCCTCTAGGATTAGGAATAAGTCTTCTCTTTAGGCATGGCTTCCATGTTTCCTAGTTTCTTCGTCAACAAATATGAACTATAGAAAACGACCATATAAAACTCAATATTTAAAACAATTGATTTCCTTAATTTTTATTAATAATTCTTAATTTTCACGAAATTTTCTGAATGAATCATTGTCAAGATTTTACATAATGCTCCACCATTTAGCTTGTTCTTGTGTTATTTGCACTAAAAAAGAAGTCAACTACCTCAGAGTAGGATTCAAGCAAAACCAAAAAGAAAAATGTAAAACTGAGAAATGGCATTTTTTTCAGGAACAAGCTGTCAGTGGCTCTTGAGATTAAAATAAAGATCTTCTCCTTATTCAACGGGCTTTGTCCTCACTCTAATTAGAGTTGCATTAAATAGCTAAATCTTGCAAGAGCCAAGATACTACTCTTAAGATATCCAAATTAGCTAATTTGGCAGCAGTTTTATGCCCAAATTAGCTAGTTTTCTGCTGATTGAAATGGCAATGCTAAGACTTTTGAGTAGTTTGGCTGTCATAGCTATGGTGCTTGGTTCAGCCATGGCTACAGATTACACAGTGGGAAGTCCTAATGGTGGATGGGACCAAACTAGTGATCTTCAGTCATGGGCTGCATCTCAAAAGTTCTTCGTCGGAGATAAAATAAGTAAGATATCTCAATATTTACATAATGTTTCCTAGTAAACAATCTTTTTTGCACTTCGTAAATGGATTATAGTGATCCTCTCTTTCGTAAGATCACATTTGTAAAAAGAATAATGTATCTCATATTGTTAAGTTGGCATAAAAGAATGAGAAGCCTTTGCCAAGTCTTAAACTCTGAATCCTGCACTCAAACTGGCTGAAAATGTCAATTTTGAGCTTGATCAGGCAGATTTTTCCGATGATCTTGACTTACAAATTGTCAGTTTTTATCTTAGACGGCTAGTGGTTAATGTTGTGTTCACACTATCTTTCCGTTTTTCATAGCACCGGGCCTTATTTACTGGTTATTGTTATTGCATTTCATCTATTTTCTGGTTCTTATGATGCTGTTATTATTTCTATGGTTTCTGTTGATGGTACTAATATATTGTTTCTTCTCGTCTTTTCCGTCTTCTTGAGCCGAGAATCTATCGGAAACAGCCTCTCTACTCCATCGGGGTAGGGGTAAGGTCTGCATGCACACTACCCTCCCCAACCCCCACTTGTGGGGTTTTACTGGGTCGTCGTCGTCGTTGTTGTCGTCGTCTTTACAGACGGAGTCTTGCGCTTTTCTTGTTGTAGACACAATTAGATGTTAAATCTAATGTTGTGTTTTCTTGACAGCTTTTTCATATGCTCCAAGCCATACTGTGCTTGAAGTAACAAAGGCTCAATATGACTCCTGTGACAATACAAATCCTATTGCAATTTATAGTGGAGGCATGACAGTCATCACTCTAGCTTCTGTAGGCAAGAGATACTTTATATGTGGAACTGGTGGCCATTGTAGCTCAGGAATGAAACTCGAAGTCAACATTCTTGTCAAGGCTTCTCCACCCCCACCAGCCAAGCCAGCTACTCCACCAACAGCAACCCCTACAGCTCCACCACCATCAACCCCCGCAACTCCACCGCCGTCAACTCCTACAACTCCACCAGCATCAGCCCCTTCCACCACCCCAGTTGCTTCCCCTCCCTCTTCATCACCATCTCCCAAGTCTTCATCAGCACCCTCACCAAAACATGCACCTAAAATTTCCCCTGCATTGTCACCTTCCAAGTCCTTCCCTCCTCACAGCCCAGCAATGCCTCCTGCTGGCAGTCCAACATCCCCTACTGTTGAGGACGCTGGATTGCCCCCTTCGGGCGCTTCTGCACCTACACCATCTGCCCCATCATCAGCTGATAAAATCCGTGTCACTGCTGGTTCTACAGTGAGATTTGGCTTTGCTGTTATGCTGATGTTCTTTCTTTAAGCCTTCAAACAATATTTGAGGTGGTTGTCACTTTTTGTTATATTGTTGATTCAGTACCTACTTTTCCTCAGTCCTGGTTGTTTGTTCAACACATTCTATATTATGAATGTTGCAAATTATTGACGGAGATATAATGGACTTTAGCATTGAAATTTTATATCTAAAGCATTGCTATAGATTTCTTTTAGCTTTGGATACTTTCTTGATTTGGTATAATCAGTAGAGGCAATAAATATGGAGTCTTACACGAACTATGCTGATGTCTAACAAAGGTTTAAAGAAAATTCACTGTCAGATTTCCTCAATATATTGTTTGTAACAGTGCAAATAGTCTGAAAAATACGTGCTTCAGTGAGTTTAGAAGCCGTAGTTGTGAATTATCGGAAGGAACCACATGAATCGAACACAGATTGACCTCTTCCCCAATAAGCATAACAGAGCAAACAAGCAGAAGGGTATCGAGAAAACACAAATGGTAAATCCTAGAGTAAGGAACGGAATTCTGGTAGTGAGGACAGGAAGCAGAAGATACCAAAATGGCCAATCAAGCAAATCTTTTCAGTCTCAGTTGAAAAGAAAATATACTACGCAGAGCAAAAGCAAGCTTAGGTAAAACAGCTTATAATATACATATAACCAAGTTTAATTATTTCAGAAGGAATCCCATTTAGGAATTACAATACACAAACTGTTTTTCGGGTGAGTACCCGGCATGTACACACTATAGCAAAACATCAAGACGGACTCATACATCAAAGACCAATAAATACAACCAGCAAATTGTCTCAGTTGTCTGTCACCTTTAACATGCATAGGAGCAACAAAAAGAATAAAGCTCCAGTAGCAAGTCACCTGGCAAGTCCAGCTTAAGCAACTGGAGGACGGAGCACATGATCTTGTGATGTGTCAACAACAGCAGGTTGCATGAATTGCCACATCGCAACACTAGGATAGCCAATGAAAGGCATCAGTTTGTTGCCAGCGACTTGTCCTTGTGCAGTAAATGCAGCTCCCATGGCAGAAGGATGGGAGAGAAAGCCTGGTTTAGAAGATAAGTTTTTAACCTGCTGCTCCAAATTCTCCTTTTCTTCCTTTAGACTTTGCTTTTCATCACGGAGCTCATTCTTCTCTGCCTGAACGGACAAAGTATTTTTCTTTTGTAAGTGCCTGAACAGAGAGCTAAAGAAAAGAATAGCGTCCGCTCACTAATGTTCCAGAATCAAGACAACTGAAAATTAGCATGGATATTCTAGTAGATATTCAGTACCACTAGAATTAAAACTACACCTTAAGTTCTTTAATCTTCTCTTGCAGTTCCTCGTTTGACTCCTTCAGCTTCTGCGTTTCAGCTCGCAGCTCAATCAGCATCTTTTGAGCATCACTCAGAATTGCAACTTTCTCAGTTTTAGGTGGTCTTCCTGGATCAAGGACAGAGCTCAATTCAAGGAACCTAGATGATGACAGATTTAGATGTGAGAATTCATAAGGCAGTGAATAATATATATCACGAGAGAAAAATCTAGAGGGAGAGATCATGCCTCTCATTAAGTCTGTCCCTCCGCAATTTCTCTCGACTTGCCTTAGATCTCGGGGAGTTGCAACATTCAATTCTCGACCTGTACATAAAGTTAAAACACATGGACATGCAAAGAAATAAATAACACCAATTCAAATGGAACTGGTCTTTGCATAGAAAATAATATCTAAAACAACTTGCTTTAACACATCAAAACTTCCCTGTTCTATTTCATTTTCTTGTTTCTTGGGGATGAGAGGGACGGTTATTGGCAACTCATTTTAATGGTGAACCTTTTAAAAGATTATTCACCTTGAAACTGGACAAGGATATCAAAGAAAGATGATTATGAAGAGCACAGCCATGACCTGTAGGCATCCTATCAGAAATCTTTTGTGCTACACAACTCCAAAATTAAGACAAATTTGTTCAGGTCAACCAACAGGTTATTAGAAGGCGTGTGGTCAGCCATGTATTTCAGTTAGCTTGATACAGCTTCATACAAGCTGGGAAAGTAGTTCACCAGCTTGAAACTTTGATATAGCTGCAACTTTGTGTCCTTTCAAGCTCTTCCTGTTGCTACTCCTAGTCTACTAATCTACTTTTAGTACCTTTTTCTTCTAAGTTTACCCAAATACCACACGCAAACTCTATGTATAAAAGTTGAACCAAATACTGATTTTCTTTACAACCGAGAAATCCCCGAGGGGCAGTGGCTCAGTCTACCCTTCTCCATTTAAATACCAGGCTTCGAACCTGTGACATGTGCCTAACCCACACATCATATGATGCGCTCTTATCACTAGACCAAAGCCCTGAGCCACCAAAGTACTGATTTCTTATGTGAGTTTTCCCTCTCTATCTTGTTATCTTTTGCCCACATGCAATTTTAAAAAAAAATCGTTAGTACACACATATCTTTGTGTTTACTCAAATGATGTTAAAGCCACTTTCTCTTAATCATCTGCATCGATCTTTAAAAAGCACCAACACGATGAGACAATTGAATAGGTATGATGTGAGAATCCTAAAATCTAGGATGAACAGCTCAGTGAAGCTATATTTTCATAACTAACTATTGAAAGGATGCAGATTAATATATAAAGCTCTGCCTAAAATTTTGGTTTCTGTAATAGCAATTAGATAGACCGGACGGTGAAGCTTGAAACATAGAGCTCCACATAACCAGTTCAAATTCGAGATGATATTCCTTCAAATGGAAATTAGAAATTATAATACTACAACCCATATACAGCCTTGAAACAGAAAAACACCAACTCACGCCACATCGGTACTCTTAAACTGAATGTAAAATTCATGCCTGAGTTCGGTGGTGGAGATTAGCAAGAGCAATGGTGGAGAACCTGGACGAAAGGTATATATGGCCAACCTTCAGTATAGATGTTGGTTATTACTTGACTATAGAAAAACTATTTTAAATATATTGAGATCACCAATAAAATTTTCTACTCTGAGCAACAAAAGTTTTTTTTTAATAAAACAAACAATGAAAAAGAAAATAAAGAAACTAGCCAGCTGTGTTTGTCTAACATATTATAGGATATCATTATGCTGATAAAGTTACTAATCTACAACCAAGAACCTCACAATGAAAATAGGCTTCTTGACTAATCAGCAAAGTCTCTCAGAGAAATGCAACCATAAAATTTAATAAGTGATTCGGAAGAAGAGCCTTTGTCATGTGTGACTTCTAGCATCACAAGCTCCTTTTTTATTTAGTTGGCTGCTATATTCCAATCACATCACATAAGAAACCGCAAAAATGCATGCATATAAATGGCATTGGGTCCTTCATTTAGAACATAGGATATAAACAGATCCAGATTTCTAAAAGAAGAAGAAAGTAATAATCAAGAGTCTACCCAAACCTCACAAACAGTGCTAAAAGAGAAAGGGATAATGTATTTACCGCTTTCGCGAGCTTGCCTCCTTACTGACTTCAGAATCATCAAATGTGTAATCTGTTTCTGCACTGAAAGAGATAAGTGACCATCAGAACACGGGGATGGTAAAAACAAAAGAACTGTTCCAGTAAAATACTCATCTCACCACTATGTCATCCTATTAAGACATCAGACAGGTATGTTACTGTGCCCATAAGATTAGAAATTCATCTTTCATAGTTGTAACAATATCCTTGGTGGAAATTGAAAAGCTGATGGTTTTGAGTCCTAATAAATATATTTACAGAACATAATTTAAGTCTTTCTATAACTTTAAGTAATGTAATCTAGAGAGGAAATCTATAACCTCAACAAAGTGATAGACAATTTCTTCGTCTTCGAAAGTGGAGTAACAACTTTTCAAGCTACAGACTGACCAAAGTGACAATTCCTTGTTGGAGTTACCTGCTACCAGAGGCAGGATCCAAAACTTTAAGCTCTATGATTTCATCCTTCAAGGTTCTTATTATTAAACGCATTGTATTTTAAAATTGTGGGTTAATATCTAATATTTGTTGCAACTTCAGCAGATCTTTACACATAAATTTATGTTCCTCGTTAGAAGTACTGGGTTACTCAATACTGCAACGCTACACCCGCCTCTGCCTGCTACCCTATAATAAGACTATTTTGACACTAATTGTCAACTTAGCACAACCCTCCTCCTTTATCTCGATTACAAAAAGTTATTAGTAGTTTACAACGCTCACATGCTTGGAGTTATAAATTAGCATAGGCAGGAATGTGTAAATATCATCTACTCTCATTTAATTCTCCAGTACCCTAGTTCTCTTCTACTCGAGCTAGTGATACAGTAACAATTGGAGTACATAATATAGAGCAATAGAATAAAGAAATAAACTTTTCTTCTAAGTGCTTCAAGAAAAAAAAAGGAAAAGATGGAAGAGCAGACCCACATGAGATTAGAGGAGGCATAGATTGTTTGAGCAGGCCAGCTGAAGTCAATAGTGGCCGGAGACTGGAAATCAGCGACGGCGACGGAGGCGGCGGAAGTGATATCAGTGATCAACTCATAATCAAATAGCCAATTGGGATTCCCACTTGAATCAATCTCCATCGGGTAAACTTGTGTTCTTCAGTTCCTCAATTTGCTCTGAACACTAGTATTATTGAACTACAACTATAAGGAATAATTGAGTAGAGTAGTAATAGTAGCAGTAGTTGAAACGATAGCGTCAGAAATATATAAAAACAGAAAGGTCGTTTTCTTTGGTTGCACAAATGGATGAGGACGGCGGAGAATTGACGGCAGCAACGAGAATGACAAAGTGAGTTTCGTCATCAAATGGATTTTCTAACTCCTCAAAAGTAAACGCTCTTTTGTATGGAAAACTAAAATTGGCATGATTTTTGCTGCTTCACTACATCAGTAGCTTTCATTCATCTGTCACATTCATCAATCATCATTTTGAAATTGCAACTTGACTGCAACAACTACTGGTAAGCTTCTATTTGGAGTTATCTCAGATGTCTTAGTTATAAACCTAAACTGTAATTACCTTTCATATATTTAATAACTGGCGCATAATAAATTTTGCTCATAATTAGCGAGAGATAAGTACTCTAACTTATAAAATGTTGGCTGAAAAGGTTCGACTTCCCCTTCGCCGAACTATGGACAGAAAAAATTCGCACCCATGACAACTGACCATATTTCATGTTTTTACGCTTGGATTCAGGATTTAAATTTTGATGGTTCAACTTTTAACATTTTTAGAATTTATTGTATTGTCAAAAGGCTTGTCTAGATTTTAGTAAATTATTATATATTAGTTTTTCCTCATATATTTTTTTGGAAGGAATAATAACCCAAATATTGGGGTCCATACAAATTATTTTATTATTTCAACTTCAACTTATAATATTATTTGCAAAAAATTATTATTCTTTGATCTTCAATTGTTATTTCAATCAAATATTATCTAAACGTCAATCTTTATTGTACATATATAAAATAAAATAAAAATTAGTCCTTAACATAGTAATAAATTTTGATTTATATTTCAACAATGTGTAAAATAGAATTTAAGTTCTATTTGTAGCACGAAAGGGCTTTGGTCCTAAATGCTTCCGAAATGTAAAACTGGGTTTTGATTCCTGAAAATTAACTTTTTCTATTTCATTTTATACGACAGTATTTGATTAAATACAAATTTCAAGAAGAAAATTATTTTGTCGTATAAGCTCTCTCTCTCTCTTGAAATCACATTTTATTATTATATTTTCTTTTAGAGTCTTAAATTTCTTTTCTGAATTAATTCTAAGATCTAGGTATTCTAGTTTCTTTAAATTCTCTTTGTTATTAATATAGTTGTTACATTTCCTCCTCCTTGTTAAGGATATATTATATATGCCCTAGATCCAATCTCATATTTGATGATTTGAACATATTTTTGTGAATGTTATTTATAAAAATATATGGCATTTGATATTCGTTTATCATATTTATTATTAATTGCTTGATTAATTTAATAAGATCCTTGATTAAATTTTGAGACTTGTCATCATGATGGAGATCATGATAATGAGAGTAAAGTCTCTTACAATTTAATCTAAATATTGTTCTTGATCGTAGGATTATTAATTTGGACATTAGTAATCCGGTTAGATCTATATATATGTGATCGTCTTTATGGGATAAAGATTAGTTGATCTCATTAACTAAATAACATAAATAGATGATACATATAGAGATATGATCATTGAACCGATTCATTGAATAATTCCTAATGATTAGAATTACCATAAACTGTCAATAGGATATTCTCTTGAAGAATGTGATGTAAGAGTTTCATTTGACCTGATATCATCATAGTAATTGACAAGTTATTTATTGTGCTTTGATACTAGACACCTATGGCCCTAGGGCGATAGTTGAAAGGATATTGGGTACGATTAAATACTTGTAGAATTAATGATTGATCAAGAAGGAATCTGTCAACTCTTGGTAATGAGTTTAAGCTCCATGANATATATATATATATATATTCACTTGATAATTATAATTAATATTTGTAGAATTTAATTTAGAATTGAATTCAATAAATGAGTTACATGTTTTTTATTTTAAAAGTATGACTAAGTTGTAGAATTCAATTTAGAATTGAATTCGATAAATGAGTTATNCTAAGTTATAGAATTCAATTTAGAATTGAATTCCATAAATGAGTTATATGTTTTTATTTTAAAATATTGACTAAGTTATAGAATTCAATTTAGAATTGAATTCCATAAATGAATTACATATTTTTATTTTAAAAGGTATGACTAAGTTGTAGAATTCAATTTAGAATTGAATTTCATAAATTAGTTACATATTTTTTAAATATTTACCATAAAGCATGTGATTTGTATTTTTCAATGAAAATTATGTGTATATATATGTGTGAGTCCTAATTAAGAATTAGGGTGATATAGATCTTATACATATTGTAAAAACCAAGAGAGTTATTCTTGAGAAGAAAATTGCTTTGAGAAAGTAATAGTGCAATACAAAGCCAAGATAGAAAATACTAGTACAAGAAAATTATTTCTTGTTCTTCTACCTTTGAGTTGAGATTTTTGAGAAAAATTTGAACACAATATTTTCACTCAATTTATTCGCGGGATTTCATTGATCAAAGAGTTGATAGCAAGGATCAATCTCGGTGTGGATACGCATAGAGTCTTCGCACTATCGAAAAAATTTAAAACGAGACTCTCTTCACCAGGTACGTCTTAGATCCGATCTTTGACATATAAATAAATTTTAAACACGAAAAGTTCTGCCTAGGATTGTTATTGTCTTCCGCTGCGTGTTATGAACACCTATATGCAATCATGTACTCCTTTTCTAACCTTCTTCCTAATGTAAAAGCTTGTCAATAAAGGCAAATGAAATATATTAAATTAAAAGTTTTTGAAATATGGAAGATTCTTAATTTTTAACAACTTAAAAGACAATATCATATAAAATGGATAGGAGTCTAAAATATAAGAACGGGATATTATGCCAATAAATGTATAATATAGGTCATGTGTGGCACGTAAACCTCCTTTATCCGCAAATTTGTGGAAAGTTACAAGGTCTCAATTCTCATTTTGCGTAATTTAGTAAGTTATGTGCATAAAATTTAGGGATTTTTTCTTTCATATACACTGTATGAAACTTTATTACTCAAATTGTCCCAGTTTTGGAATTTATCCGACATAAACACGTTTTAGCTACAAAAAATATACATTTGTTTAAAATAGACCCCTTTCTTTGGTAGATTTACTTTTTTAGACGCACGATTTTGGGACACCGTATATTTCAGTTATAAAATTTAGACGGTAAAAATCTACAACAAACATTAAACGCAATCATCGCCCCGAATTCTGCAGAATCCTTCTCTAAAACAGATTTCCTTGGTTTTCCATAAACAAGGTAACAAATTCAAAAAAAAAAAAAAAGCTTCTCAAGAAAACAATTGCAGATTATTGTTTTCTCTACAATTGACAATCAGTTCTGAACATATAGCTTCATTCTAAAGTTTTTATAGGATCGCGTAATTATTTTCTCTACNAAAATAAAAAAAAAAAAAAAAGCTTCTCAAGAAAACAATTGCAGATTATTGTTTTCTCTACAATTGACAATCAGTTCTGAACATATAGCTTCATTCTAAAGTTTTTATAGGATCGCGTAATTATTTTCTCTACAATTGAATTGATTTTGGCGATATAATATCAAAATTGGCGATAATGCTTCAGCTCAATGGTCGGTGGGATAGCTTTGGGAGATACGTAGATTTTGATGTTGATAGAATTGTAGTCATTGAAGATTCAAAATATAGTCAATTGAATGCCACAATTGTAGAGCACCTAATGATCGATACTTCTGTAAAAATCATCGAGATCAAATACACAGTGAGCTAACGTTATCCTTCAATGTAAATTCGGAACGATATGGGAGTTCGAGTGAATATGGAGATGAAAAAAGAAAATAAAAATCTAAGAATGTATCCGCTGTGTATAACAGTAAGGGATTTCAATTTGGAATACAATATGTCGAATGCGAGCACAATTACAGGTTTGCTATATTTTTATAGTCCTGAAGTTTTTCAATTTTCAAGTCTTCTACAATTTTACTACAAATTATCTGCAACTATACTATAGAACAAATGTAGTTCAATGGTTATGTCTCTAAAACAAATTGAAGTGTAACTGTTACACAGTAATTAATGTGATAAAAATGTAAATAATGATCACAGAACAAAGTATCTACAAGTATAATATAAATTTAATTTCTGTCAAATACTGAACAACTGAATATGCAGAGGTCTGAATTACTTTACTTTTAAATAAGTGGAAGTACTTCTGATTATCGTAATACTAACGTGGTACAATTGTCAAGCAATTATAACACATTTGGAGAAGTATCAGGAATAGTTGATTGATATGCCAACATCCACGACAATTGTGGAATATGAAAGTATAATCATAACAGAACATACGCCAAAAGTAATTGAACTAGGCCAAGTTTACCAAGACAAACAAATAATTGTCAGTGCAATAAAGCACTATGCTGTCATGAATAAGTTTCAATTTAGGGTAAAAAGGTCTAGTGCAAGAAGGTAAGAATATTTTATTTGTCAAAATCATATTGTGTATAAAAAATATGTTGGTGATAGTTGTACGTGGCACTTTAAGTCCACAAGCATAAATTAATTATCATTATTCAAGGTTCGAAAATTCAACAGCTTGCACACATGCTCGTTGATGGACAACACATATATATAACATAAAGCTACTTCCATGGTAGTTGGCAGCATGGTCATGCCAAAATATGTGGATCCTAAGATAATATACACACCAAAAGACATACAAACTGACATGTTGTCGGAACATGGTATCAACTTAACATATATGCAAGCTTGGAGAGCAAAGGAAAGGCTTTGAAATTTTTGAGAGGCCATCCTGTTGATTCCTACAGTCGCCTGCCGAGTTATTTGTATATTTTGGAGAAAACTTATTCGGGGTCGGTAGTGAAATTGCAGAAGACTGAAGATGAATGTTTCTTGTATGCATTTGTTGCTCTTAATACGTTCATCAAGGGTTGGGAGCATTATAGGCCAGTTATAGCTGACGATGGCACCTTCTTGAAGTCGGCATATAGGGGAATCATGCTAACAGCTAACACAATGGATGCAACAGGTATTGTAGATTAATTGTAAGAATATTGTATTCAAGTTGTTTCTAAAAATATATTTTTGATATTTTCGAGTTTTATTACTGAAATTGAATTTCTTTTGGCTACCTATGTGATAGGTAGCATATTACCACTAGCATGCGCCGTTGTTGATTCAGAAAATGACGCATCGTGGAGGGGGTCTTTTGAGCAATTCAAACATGCATATGGTGAAAAACTAAATATGTGTATTGTTTCGGACCGAAATGAGAGTATATTGAAGGCATCATCTACGGTTTATACCGGCATACCGCATTATGCTTGCATGTGGCATATTTGGACAAATGTAAGATCAAAGTTCAAGAAAGGTCATTTAAAGTTAAGCGAATTATACTTTGCCATGGCACGATCATACACGCTTGATGAAATTAATGAAAGAATGTCAACGATTGAAGAGATCGACACACGTGTTAAAGCATACCTATACGATATTGATTCTCATAAATGGTCTCGGGTACATGCTACGGTGAACATAACATGGGCGGTGACATCAAATATTGCAGAGTCCTTGAATGCGGTAACGAAAGATGCAAGAGAGCTGCCCTTAGTTCAACTATTATAGTACATGAGGACTCTTCTTGAACGTTGGACTAATAAAAAGTTATTGAATGCAAAGGGTACGTTTACATACCTTAGGAAAAAATACAACAAAGAGTTGGAGGACAACAGGACATTATCGTAGAAGCTGAGAGTAAGTTATGGTCTATAACATCAGATTAATGATTTCATCAAACTAAATATATACTGATAATTGTAGATATGTTATTGTACAACTATAATTATTTTATTTTTTATCAAGTGCTGACAACTTGTTGTATGTTTGTAATAAAATTATAGGTGAGGGCTTCAACAGATTACATCCATACTGTGATAGATGGTGTGAAGCGCTTTATTGTTTGCCTTCAAAACAAGAGATGTAGTTGTAGACAATTTCTGCTTGATGAACTTCTTTGTCCACATGCTTTGGCGGCTTTGAGGCACAAGAACAAGTCTTATGAAAACTATTATTCTCCTTATTACACGAGGGAGAGCCTTCTGCAGACTTATGAAATACCAGTAGACCCTCTACCTGATGAAAGAAAATGGGATGTGCCACAACATATAGCAGAAGAAGTTGTACTGCCACCTACTAGAAAAAGACAGCCAGGGAGACCTCAAAAACAAAGATACAAACCATATGATGAAATAAATGTAAAGAAGTACAAAGTTTCATGTGGCAATTACGGACAAGAAGGGCATAACAAATGATCTTGTAGGAATGCTCCCAAAAGAAAATAAGAATTGATGTAGTATAAATAAATTTTTTTTACTGAGTATTGTTGATGATAACCTGTCATTTAAGATACATTTATTTGTATTTGTTCTCTTCTGGACAATTATAGTTGTGGTGTAATTATGTTGCTAATTTGAATAAAGATTGTCTCCTATAATGAATATTTGATAAACATATTTTAACTCTTAATGCCATTGGGTTGTAGTTATTTTATTGAATAACTGGGTTTATTTATTAATTTTAAGCTTTTTCTAATAATAATGCTAAATTTGAATAGATTCTGTATTGTTGTATAATAGTTGTAGACATAATTATAGTTATGGTGTAAAGAAATTATTTTCTAAGAGTAACATATGTTCACATAATATGTTAAGTATAAACTAATATGCTAAAAGAAGACAACAGATAACATATATTATAGAGTACCAATATGAAGATCAAGTACTAACAACTTTCAACTAAAAAATATGCTACAGATGTTTTCATTTGTAAGTAGTAGAATTCTGGACAAAATAACAAACAAAAGCTAAAACAATTTTAGCACAAATCTGCTACAAATAAACTGTAGCTGAATTGTTCTTAGTAAACAATTTTCCTAAAACTTTAATACAATCCTGCTACAACTAAACACTTTTACTACAATTTAGCTACTGAAAAGGGCAACTAATTCTTTTTGGTTCATACTCTTGTTCTCTCCCTCACAGTTGGTGCACTTTTTCTTCTTGCTAATCTCGTAGTAACCTCACTTTCACTAATTGCACCAAGCTCTTGCTTTTTCCTAGCATAATTCCAAAGAAGCGCTCCATAGTGTCTACGGTGTTGAGCAATATCAGAAAAGTCTTCCTTTGAAATCGGGAGTTGTCCAATGCTGACATATTCTGTAAATGCCGCCACGTATGCACCTCAATCACTGCAATAAATATTAGGAAAAAATCTTTAGCATTCAATGTAAAATTCAATTGGCTAAATTGAAGGAAAAGTAGCACATACAATGATCCCTCTTTTTGTTGGGGTATCTCACCGACCAACCACTGAATGTCAAGAGGATGAGTAACGCCTTTTTAATTATGCCTTTGTGTTCTTGTACTTGATGTCTGGACGCTTGCCATAGAAGCCGGTGGATGAGAAGTAGAAGGGGATCATAATAGCAAACTTGTCGACAACAGATTTCACAAGTTTGTGATTACATGAAGAGACCATAGAATCATAAACATATAGAACCCTATCGGTAATGTCAAACACAGCCAATAACCAATGAAATTTCTCAACAATGTTTATGGGCATAATCACAAAATCAACTTTGTCTCATGCAACATTTGCAAGTAATCGGTACCCCAATATGTATTCTGATACGACGTCCTGAGGTTTGACAACAACAATCTTCCTATCGGCAGGGTCATTAATGTACTTCTCATAAATTTGTTCTATTCTAGTTTTGAACATACAGTCAGTGGTTGTAAAGCGTATTGTGTTTTCAGGACCATACTTTCCTCTCTTCCTCAAATAGTATAAAATAACATCAATGTGCTACAAAAAAATTTTACATAATTTCTCACTGCAACAGACAATTTAACTATAATTTTTAAACAAAAAATCTACAGATATCTAAAGTAATAGAATACTTCAGCTTATCATTAAATTCTGCATGGGTATGAGAGTACCGTATTATTCAGGATTTGTCCAGAATGTGCCAAAGTATAAAATCAGTCATTTTTATCAACTTTCTCCACTCCAAGATCAAACCACAGGTTGAGCTGGTTATCTTTTACAGTATAATGCGCCTTTTTCCTGTTTAAAAATATAGCAAGTACAATTAAAATATAGTTGCAATTGGAAATCAATAAATTCTATACCCTCGATAATATGAAAAAATTATAGAATCTAACCTCTTTGAAACCATGTCAGTACCTAAATATAACTACTTATTGAATTCTTCCAATAAAGTAGGATCAACATCTTCGCCAATAACCCTAGTAAATGGATGCTTGATGTTGAAAATTGAAGGAGGACCAACAGAAGTGCTTCCACCAGAACTAGAACTGAAATAAGGGAGAAAGGGGGATCTAGCATGCTTTTCAGGAACCCTTGTTCTTCCTTGCTGTACACAGGTTGTTTTATCTTCATTAACCTCGCCGAACTTAACTATCTGCGAGAAGTTCTCGGGCAAATCAAAATCATCAATTGTTATTGCCCTTTTTTCCAGACTTGGAATCATTGTCCGAGTCAGCTACATTGATGAAGTCGACTAGTTCACCTACAAAGTTAAAAACAAAAGAATAATATTGTATGTTGCTTGCATCAGATATGTTGGAAACTTGTAAAATTATATGAAAGCTGTTGTTTTTTTCTACAATTATCTTGTAATAATTAATACCACTGAAATCTTCGTTGCAATCCTTTTCTTGATGGAAAATATTTGCTTCCTGAATTGGAGATTGCAAATGCATAGTCTCCTTCTCCTCATTGAAATGCTCTCTTTGTATGGAAATATTTGCATTCTGATTTGGAGAGTGCACATGCATAGTTTTCTTCTCTATCACAACAAATGTATACAATGAAAGAATATTTTAGATAATTTGTAATAAGCAGAACCAAAATATAGATAAATTATAATTAAGTTGTAGTTAATTTATTGAAATACTGTCCTATAGCTGAAATATAATATGTTGTGAAATATGTAAAAAAAAATACATTATATCATACCTGCAGTTTCTTTCTTAAATGCCTCTTGAAATTGGGAAGATAAGTCAACACCTACCGGACATGATAGATGAACATTCTCCTCTTTTTGAATGTCAGACATATGTCCTGTATCTAAAATAATAATTGGAAATATAATGTATATTATTTGTTGATAATTTAGAAATATGTACAACCTATGTAAGACATGTCATAAAATTGTGTTAACATTATTCAAATACCTGTTTTAGTTCTAGTTCTGCTGCCCAACACTTGTTTAGCACTACTGCCATGATATTGTTGTGTGTTCTTTATTTTGTAATGCTCATCATTTTTTTCAGAACTGCCACTAAACTGCAAGATAAATTTCTGAGGCTATATACTTTATGAATGTTAATATAATTATAAACATAGTAAAAATAGTATTATATTTTGAATAAAACCTTAGCATCAATGTTAGTATCCTTTTAACTATTAATTGCCTCCAACACAGTCTTGATGGAATCATTGAATAGCTCTCGAATGCTACCTAGTTCTTCAAAAACCTAGAGAATCAAAAAGGCTTAAAATGTATCTGACAATAAGAGGATTACATATATATAAAGAAGCCTAAAAATCAAGAATTAGGTATACCTCTTTCTTGAACAATCCAAGGTCTGAACCGACCTAAGGATAAAAATAAAAAGAGTTAAAGAAATATTTGGCATAACATAAATTACAGAAACCGGCTAGGAATATCATAAGTTGTTACCTTATCAACATCTTTTCTTATTTTTTTTAGTTGTTGCAGAATTGCTTTCTTGTCATATTCCCATTGACTGCTTAGTGCCAGATGAAGATTGAGCATTTGTCGGATGCTCGGCTTGCATTTCAGCTTCTTCAAACATATATTCAACTTTGTCTGGCTAAGTCATTCTAGAAAGCTCTTCTAGGGTTCAATCATGTTGGTAAACTGAGTGAAAGAAAAATATGAGGGAGTTATTCATCATATTTAAATAATTTGTATATAAATTGTAGTTATATTGCTTGTACCATAAACACGTAGAATTATTGTGTTAAGCATGTCAATATTTTATGTTACCTTATACAAATATAAAAAAATTTACCTTGATCCATGATGGTTTGATCATCCTCTCTTCCAATGCAAAAATTCATATTTTGTCCTTTGTTGCTGTCCAGTTAAGGATACAGGTGGATCAAATAACCAACTCTTGTAGCAATATCTGTGTTGACTGTAGAGCAACACTTATACAACCAGATTTGCATAGCGAGTGAAAAATCTCGACGGAGATAAAAATGCACGGATGGGTTCAACTTATGCCTAATAGACTAAAACAAATGTGTATAAGCTTCTATACCCCATGCGAAATTCACATACTGCCCCGAGTCAACCAAATAGAACCTAAAGTGGTCTATCAAACCATTATCTTTCTCGGAAGGACAGAGGAAGAACTCTATAAGATACATAATACATAGCTTGACTGCATCCTCGTCATTCACCCAACTACGGTTGGTTACAATTTGTTACAGGTATGACTTCTCAACTTTTTCCTTGTTCGGAAAATAACTCCTCATTGTTTTACTATCATAGTGTTCAATTCATACTTCATCAGAAGGTGAATTGCCTGATTTTGGATATATATTTTGGGCATGCGAAGAAAGTGCCCAAAATATGTCTTTTTAAATAATTTTATCCTATTTTCAGATAATAATACCTTGATTTGGGCAGGAACAACATGGACGGATAATGTTTGAAACCTAGTGATGCCATAATCAACATCATGTGGTATAAAAAATATCCGATTTTGCACCAAAAGAAAAAATAAGTTAACAAAACATGTTTAAAGACAGAAAAATAAAATATTAACAATTTTGCTATACTTTATCTACANCTAACAACTAGACATAATATATATAATTTATTTAATTGATTTAGCAAATGTCAAAGCTTCAGCAGCATCCCTGTCATGCTTGAGTTTTGTTTGCGTCTCTACCCTAGTTTCACGAGGGGAAAGCTTGGACTTTCTCTATGGAGTTGCATGTCGGGATTTTACCATTTTTTTTTTGGGTGAATCCTGTGAGAAAGCACCCAAATCAAAAGTAGGAATATCACCATCAATAGCTTTTATAGGGCTTTTCCTCGGAGTTCCTTTCTTCTTCATCGTAAGGATGAAAATATTTGAAGCACTAAGGATTTCGCAGGGATTTTGAGAGAAAAATCAGAAAATTTGAGAGAGAAATTGTAAAAGCTTTTGAAAAAAGATGGAAGACAGCGTTAATGGAGGGAGAGAGGATCAGAATCGTGGGGTGGGGGGGCAGAGAAATGTGAGTGGCGTGGGATATGTACGTTAGATACTGAATAGCATGATTAAAGGAGTTAATTGATATCTCATTTAATTCCTAAAATGTATATAATTGGTAA